TTAAAAAAACAAAGAAATTTTGAATTGGCAGTTTTTTATTTTTTTGTAATTCTATTTTTTTTATTTTAAACTAATTTAAAAACTCCAACTTGAAACTACTCTCCAATATGAATGGACAGTTTTTTTTAATTTTCGTTTTTTATTATAAAATATTTCATTTATTATTTTATGGATATTTAAATTGAAAAACAATAACCAATAACTAATTATTAACTACTTATGCCATGTGGCTTTTTTTCTAGGCTGTCACTGGCTTAAGTAGAGGGATTTTTCTTCTCCTTTTTTTATTTTAAATTTAATCCTATTTTTGTCAATAATATTATCGGAATTTTAATGAATAAAATTTCTATTAAATGAGACTTATATAGGCATAGAATAATAGGCTTGTTCAGTATTTTTTTTTATTATATTATCCAATATTTAGTATTATTACGTTGTTCATAGAAACTGTTATTAGCATATTACTTTGTTTAAAAGTTTTGTCTACTATTTTTTTTTGTAATATAAGGGAAGATTTATATTTTACTAATCTTGAAATATTTTTTTATTTTAAATTTTATTCTATTGTTCTCAATAATAATATCTGAATTTTAATGCATAAAATCTCTATTAAATTAATGAGACTTATATGGGCATCGAATAATAGGCTTGTTCGGTATTAGCATATTACTTGTTTAATATTTTTGTCCGCTAATTTTTTTCTTTATATAATAGAAGATATATATTTTATTACTCTTGAATATATATTTTTTTATTTTAAATTTTATTATATGTTTCTCAATAATATTGTTTGAATTTTAATGAATAAATACACTTTTTATTTCAAAAAAGAAAAACGAAAATGATTTTAAAAAATGAAATAAAGAAATTAACTAACCTAAACCAACCCTCATCCATGTTGGAGTAGTTAATTTTCAATACATAATTTCTTTGTTATTAACTAATTATGCCATGTGGCCTTTTTCTAGGCTAGCACTTGGATTAATGTGGTGCCTTTTTCTTTGGCTTTTTTTTTTTAGTTAAATTGTCAAATTTTTTATTTAACCAAGTATAAATATTTACATCCGCTAGCTCATTTGGACTCTAGAGCTAGACCCTATTCTAAAAACTTTCCGACTAAACAGATAACACATTTCTACTACATTTACAATTAACTCATTTTAATTAGGAAAATTCTTCGGTCTTTCCAGCTCTTTGTGCCACTTTGCTTCACTCTACCCTCTGATGTGCAATTCCAGCACAATGTCTTTGATCCTCTGAGTGCAAGCCATCATCTTTCCTTAGAACCTTCTTTGATTTCTCTCTGAAGAACAGGATACAGGCGGATGTTAGATACTTAAGAGATTATTATTGAACTATGACAAGCAAACGTAACATTTGTGGTATTAAGAGACCCCTTTCGGACTTGTATAATAAAATCACCAGATGATGCAATCAGTGTAAGTGGTTAGAGTAGGGGTGTTTATAAAAATCGGAAAAATCGAACCAAACCGAAAACTAAATCAAACCGACCAAAAAAATCGATATTTTTTGGTTTGGTTTGGTTTTGATTTTGAATTTTAAGCACTAATCAAATTTGGTTTGGTTTTGGTTTTTATAAGAAAAAATCAAAAAAATCCGAACCAAACCGACGATAGGAGTAGCTATTTTAAATTTATTATTACACCTATATATGTATATTTTTATACAAAGTTTCAAAAATTTTATGATAAAAATGTTAATAGTTTGCACTTTTAGTATAGTTCTTTACCTTTACATTCTAGTTTGATTGGTAGTTTTCTTTTGTTAAGTGTAAGAATCCATTTCGTGTTAAAAATAATATGTTTTTAATTGAGTCCTTAAATTATTCATCACTATTTGATTCAATTATCATCAATATATCTTGGTTAAATAATAGATTTCCCAAAGAGCAATTGATTTGATAGTGTTATGTTGAAATGTGATCGCCGGTATATGTGTTTGGTAGTGTATGTCTTATATTTAAGAAAAAACCGACAAATAACCGAAAA